TAAGATATAACAAACAGAAAAACAATTCCACCAAGAGATGTCGTATTTCATGACCTCATTTTTTCATATCAAACAGAACACCCTAAACCAGATTACCATGACACACCACTGCCAATACCAAATAACAACACAGTAACCATACTTGAAAACCAGTCACAAAGAAGAGAAGAAATTCCCTTACCAAACATCATTCCCCAAGAGTTTGAAGTAAGGAGGAGCATTAGGGTAAAAAATAGGCCCACCTGGATGGAAGACTTTGTCGCCCATACAACCGAACAACCTATGTCTGAACTCCTTTTCCTCATGTCCATCTCACCTACATATAATCATGGCTATGTTAATTTCATTGCACAAGTATCTATTACGAAAGAACCAATGTTATACAAGGATGCTAAAAGGGACAGCAAATGGGTTGAGGCCATGCAAGCCGAGCTGTCCGCACTAGAAGAAAATAATATATGGGAACTAATTGCACTACCGAAAGGGAAGAAGGCAATCGACTCAAAATGGGTGTATAAAATAAAACACAATGTCGATGGATCAGTTGATAAATACAAAGCAAGACTCGTAGCTAAAGGTTACAACTAGGAGTTTGGCATAAACTATCATGATAGCTTCTCACCAGTGGCCAAAATGGTCACGGTTCGACTACTTTTAGCCGTGGCAGCTGCAAGCGGCTGACCAGTATATCAGTTAGACATCAATAACGCGTACCTACATGGGTTTGTAGAAGATGAGGTATAAAACCTCTAGAGGGCTACTTTAAGGCCAGTGAAGGGCAAGTATGCCGTTTAACCAGGAGTCTGTACGGCCTGAAACAAGCGGGTCGCCAGTGGAACAAGGAGCTTACTTGAATGCTTCAATCCATCGACTTCACCAAGTCAGAAGCCGACCACTGTCTATTCACAAAATGAACAAAAGAAAACTACGTTGCAGTTGTGGTATATGTGGATGACTTACTTGTCACGGGTCCTAATGATGAAGAGATTTGCGAAATCAAAAGCGCCATGGATGAAGCCTTCACAATCAAAGACCTCGACCAAGCGAGATATTTTCTTGGAGTCGAGATAGCTAGATCAAAAGAAGGGATCTACATTAGCAAAAAAAAAAATACACCAAAGATATTTTACAAGATATAAAGATGGAAGATGCAAAAGAAAGCCACTTTCTCCTGCCTTTCGGATTAAAACTAAATGCAGAAGAAGGAGAAATCTTACCAGACCCGGAGAGGTATAGACGCCTAATCGACCGCTTGCTTTACCTCAACTTCACCAGACCCGACATTACATACGCCACCCAACATCTCAATCAGTTCATGCAACAACCCAGATGGCCGCACCTCGACGTTGCACTACACGTTGTCAGGTACCTAAAGCAATATCCGGAGCAAGGCATCTTCTTTCCGAGAAAGAATGACTTTAAAGTTCAAGCCTTTTGTGACTCGGACTGGGCATCGTGTCCGATGACCCGCAAATCCATCATGGGCTTCTGTATCTTCCTCGGACTTGCATTAATCTCCTGAAAAACAAAGAAACAAACTACGGTGAGCAAGTCTTCTGCAGAAGCTGAGTATAGAAGTATGTCATCCACAGTATGTGAAGTTCAGTAGATAACCTATCTGCTTCGAGATTTTCAAATAATACTCTACTTACCCATAATATGAATTGTGACAACAAACCCGCCAAGCATATCGCAGCAAATCCGGTTTTTCACGAACGAACGAACTAGAAAAACAAAGAAACAAACTACGGTGAGCAAGTCTTCCGCAGAAGCTGAGTACAGAAGTATATCATCCACGGTATGTGAAGTTCAGTAGATAACCTATCTGCTTCGAGATTTTCAAATAATACCTAACTTACCCATAATATTGAACTATGACAACAAAGCCGCCAAGCATATCGCAGCAAATTCGGTTTTTCACGAACGAACGAAGCACCTTGACATCAACTGTCACGTAGTTTGCAACCAGGTTCAAAAAGGCTTCATTGAAATAAAACATGTCACCTTGAGGGAACAGCTCGCCGATCTGCTCACAAAATCTTTAGGATCTCAGCACATCACTAACTTCTATTCAAGATG